TTTAATAGAAATTAGTTTATAATTTTTAGTAATTTTTAGAAATATTTAACTAAGCAAAGAAGCAACTTTTTAAGCTCTTGAACTATTTTTCATCATTCTAAAAATTCTTAAATTAATTTCTTTAAATTTCCATTTAATTGAATACTAAAAATTTCTTTCAGTGAAGCAATTGTCGTTTCCTCGCTCGTTTAGTCGATTATTCTTGGAGGCGTTTTTCTTAATAGCAACTCCGAGAAATACAAAAACCAAAAAAATAAAACAACAAGTGGTGAAACAATAACAATGGGAAGAGCAATAACAGTCACGACTGAACGGGGGGTGGTTGGGTGAGGTTTGGGTGAGGGTTGGGGTCACCAAGTGAAATGAATTAAAACTGAATCAAAACATCTGGACACACGACCGAAAGACAACACAGCAGACGAAAAACTGTAAGACCGTCGGGCCCACAGAGTTGGGTTGAGTTGAGTTCAGGATTTATTCAAACTGAAGAAGATGAATGAATGAATGAATGAATGAATGAATGAATGAATGAATGGCCTGGGATGAGTGAGTGAGTGATTAAATTGTTAAACGAATAAGTAAACGAGTGGATAATTGAGAGGTTGAGAATCAGTGGGGAAAATGTATTCAAAAAGGAAGGTCAATTAATAAGGTAAAGGTGAAGGTAACTTATAAGGAAGTTATTTTAAGTTATTTTCATATTGCAAAGTTACTATAATTGTGGCAGTAAGTTGATATACTAACTTATTACTTGATTAATTCATGTTATTTGTAAGTTATTAAGCCATTAATTAGATATTTTTTTTAGAATTTTCACACAAAGTTAAGATATGTTAAGATTACAGTAGGCTTCCCTTTAAAACTCACATAATTTTAGCAACATTTTAAGCTTACCCCTTGGCCGCTGTCATTCTAAACCTATAAACTTGAAAACTGCAATATAAATATAAAAAATTCCCACAGAATGTCAGCCAAACACATCCCCTCACACCGTTTATTCGTCTCACAAATCAAGGATTCAATTATCGTGGAATATTTGAGACACCACCCGCCGCTTCATTAAGTGAAGCAATTCCCACTCAGGACTCTGGCAAGAACTTCGTTTTATCAACTCCCCTGATTCGATGAGTTAACTTTGAGTTATTTGCGAATTGATTTCCCGCCCACAACATCCACCGGAAATGGCCCCGAGTCAGTAACCAAAAAGAAGCCACTTACCTGTCCTGTCCTGCCTCTTGGATGGAACTATCAATGCGGCTGGCCGCACTTCAGCTACATTCAGCTAGCTATTCTGTCTATTCCGTCCGTCCTGTCCTCCAGCTTTTTGTCCAGGCGGAAAATCTAGAAGAAGAAGCTAAAGTGGCACGAGAACGGGAAGGGGAACGGGAACGGGAACTGGAAAATATGCAAGCCAAGCAATTTGCATTTGCACACCGCAAACGGTGAAGCAAAACTTAAGAACACAGCAGACAAGGACAACAAGTGCTGCAAGGAATATGCTAAATTACGAAAAGACAAAAAACCAAACACGGCACACCAAAAAAAAAAATAGGAAAAGAAAAAGAATGGCAGAAAGAATAAACTTTGTTAGACTCCCCTTCGGAGCCCCAAACCCCCCTCGGACCGCTCTCTAAAAAAGTATTCCCGAGAAGTTGCCCAAAGTCGAGTTTGGGAACCTGGTTGGGAACCCAAGCCAAACGACAAGAAAAACATGGGACAAAACAGGAATTTATTTTTGGGTTTAAGACTCAAAGATACCTTCGAAATATGTATTTTTTAAGTTTATATTTAGTAGGGATCATTAATGATTTTATATAGTAAATGGGTTAGTTAGTAGTTTAGATTCATTTTAGATTGCCAAAATCATTATCTATTCTTAGGATTAGCTTAGGATTATGTTTGGAGATAAACATTTCTATTAAAATAAACATAAATAAGTTAAGTTAATAAGAAAACTCCTCATATGTTCCATCGTCTTGATATGGTACTGTATAGATATGGGTACTATAAGGTCCCTAATGCCTTTCTTCTACATCTTAAGGGGTACTAAAATCCCTTTAGCAGGAAAGGAGTTATATAGACGCTGGCTATAAGATGACTGCCTTTCTGTTGGACAGTTCTCTTCTTCAACACTACAAAAAACTGTTAGTAATATTTCTTATTAACCATGAAAATTACTTCAACAAAAGCCAACCAAAAAGTTTAAGGATGAAAATTCAACCTAAGTTATCAATGAAGATGTCAGCTACCAAAATTCCAGCTAATCAGACATAAAAGGTGACTTCTTCATTCCAAGAACCTTTCTAACAACAGCCATACTGATATATAAATTTAAGAAAATGACTTTTCCATTTCTCTAACTGCACGGGTCGTGTCAAGGTAGAAGGCAAATAATCAGAGACCTCAGCTCCGAGCATCCTTGTTGTGTGCTGTTATTGAAAATAGTTTTACAATTTATAGAGTACCCCCTGCCATGCCCCTTTTGCCATTATCCCCCATACTCCGTAACTCCTTATACCAGTATCTCACCTGGCCTTTGTCTGGTCGGTGGGCGTGGCACTGCGGCTAGGCGCCCACAGCTCTTTGCATGACAAAGGCTCCTTGCGGTTGCCAGGTCCTTCAGATTGTCAGTTCAACTGTCGGCTCAACATTGAATGGATGTAGATGGACGGGGCGGTGGGCGGTGTAGGGCTGACAAGGAGCGGCAGGGTAGTGGGGAGGCGGTTTTCTCAGAATTCAAAGTTCTGGTTACTGGGTTGTGGGTCCACTGTACGTACTTGTCCCAGGCGATGGCATCGCACTCCATCTAAGCTGATTTGTCGGCTTAGGGCCAAGTCACACAAGATGGCCATAACCGAAGTTTGGTTATGTGTAAGGAATCGCATTTACAGAGAGTTTCTCTCAAGTGCTGCGATGTTTGTCAAGAAGATATATCTAAGGCGTTATATATATAGTCTACTATAGTCTTATAATCAACACCAGTTGATAAGTTTAAGTTCTTTAAACTCTATTTTAAATATTTCGTGAAGAAAAACCTTCTCAAAGCTGGAAGATACCCACCATTAATATCCATTTCCAGCTGTATTAACTAACTAAAGCTGTTACTTAAGCTTAGTATATATACTTCGATATGCACATATGCCCTGGCAAAGCAGTCGATTGATCATTAATCTGAATTGAAGCCAACGGGAAACCCCGTCGAACCCGGAATCCAACCTGAAATTAACATAATTTATCGCTTATTGAATCAATCGAAGTTCCAGCTTGTCAACCACCGCCCACCTTACCTTTTTCCCAGCCCCTCAGCGCCACCACTCAAGTTTTCCCAAAGAATGAAAGAAAATGAGAGAGATTGGCCGTTTAAAAAAGCGAGCCACGTAGAAAGATTACATGAATTCGTAATAAAAAACTACTGTCAGCTTGCATCAGGGAACTTTCCATCATTTCCCGGGGAATGCGGAAGCGGAAGAGCGTCGCCCAAGAGGGTTAAAGTAAAAGTCCTTGGAATTGAGAGAAGGGGATGAAGATTTGATTTGGGTGTTGGCGTCTAAGTAAATCCGCTGGGGAATATATATATATATATACTCTACTATATGCAGACATAGGAAGAGAAGTAGATTCTGCTGGAATGTTTTGCTATTTTGCGATTGAGCTGTCCAAATGCGCCTTTTAATGTAATCTCTTACGGATTTGTTTTGACAGGAGTGCCGTACTACATTCACCACCCAACCACCACCTAACGAATAACACCCCCGCCGCCTCTCCCCACACCTTCACAATTCGTGCGAATTTCTTTTCACAATCCAATGCATATGAAATGGGTGTGGATAAGCCTGGTTATGTTTTCCGGGGGCCGAGTGGTTTATGCTTAGGCATACCCACTCCTTCTTTCATTATAAATATTAGATTACTCAAGCGTATGTTATTTATTATATTAGATTCGAAACGGCTGCCTTATGCCCGGCCAATTCAATTGGGGAATTTGGCTGTGCGTCTTGTTTTGACCGAGCTAGAGCTAAAAAACCGAACAGAGTATTGCAAATTTCTGTTAAATATCGGTTTCCAGAGCTCGCACCGAAAAATCACAACAATAATGATAAAAGCAAGTATAGGGGTGTTAAGTTTTGGTAGTTAGCTGCATAAAACAGACATTGTTTAAGTCATGCGGCTTGTTAGTTAGAGCTAAGAGACTGCAACAAAACCGGAATTTCTGCTGCTAGAAGACGTATACTTGATATTTGGGGGGAAAAAATCAGTTTTGTTGCTATAGCACAGCCAAAAAAGGTCCAAATGAGGAATGTAATACCTCGTATGGCTCGTATTTTGATTGCTTTGATTCCCAATTGATTTGCATTCAAATCTGGGAAACTTCATTTTTCGGCATTTTTTGAAAATTTTGATGATGGTACCCCTTATTGAAAGTGCAAGTTTCAGTTTCTCCCTATTTCTCCCCCAAAAGATTAGTATTTTTCTCATATCTTGGCCAATAATGGTCCGATTATATAACGCAATACATCGTTGAGCTCGTAATTTGATTTCCAACAAAACTGTATCCCCACCTTAAAATGTGATATTTTCACAATTTTTCGAAAATTTTGATGATGTTACCCCTTATCAAAAATGCGAAATTTGGGCCAAAATTGACTTTCCCAAAATCGAAAATCGAGTGATAGGAGTAGTTAGTATTGGTCATTAGCAACACAAAACATTCGTTCTTTTGGCTGTGCGTCTTGTTTTGACCGAGCTATAGCTAAAAAACCGAACATAGTATTGCAAATTTCTGTTAGAAATATATTTCTTGATTTTTCAGTCATTAAATCAGAGCTCGCACCGAAAAATCAGAGCAATTATGATAAAAGCAAGTATAGGGGTGTTAAGTTTCGGTTGTCAGCTGCATAAAACAGTCATTGTTTTAGCCGTGCGTCTTGTATTAACAAAGTTAGAGCTAAGAAACGGCATGGAACCCGGGATCTTTTTTGAGTTTTATCAAAAATGCAAAATTTAGGGTTCTCCTCATTTCCCCCCTTAAATTTACAGTATTTTATTAGAACGATAAATTTAAATATTTTAAATAAGGTCAACATTCGGAAAATCTTTTCGATCGCTGGAAGTGGTGGCCAACGCCACTCCTCAGCTCCTTGTTCTCTCTGCCATCTACTTCTGCTCGTGGGGAGTGTTGCCTGGTCTCTGGTTTCTGCTTTTAACGTTTAAATTTGGTTCCATACCAGAAGAAGGGCGGCGTCGATTTCTTTAATTCTCTTCTGACTTTGGAAGGGACGATGACTGCTCAGCGTCCTCTTGCTGCCTTTTGTGAGTCTTCTCGACCACCTCCCTAAATTTCGCATTAACCTCAGCCTCGGTTTCCGCCTCATCTCCTTCGGATCGAGCCGTATGCCAAACAATTGGCTTTTTTTCCCTCATTGACGTCAACACAGCTTCTTCGAATGTCTGACATGAAGCCCTCTTCGCCAAATACGACATGTCCAAACTCCGTGGTACTTCTTCCTTGGTAATCACTATTAAGAACAAGATTTGACAATTTATTAGAGATATGCGAAAGTTAATTTCGAAGACTCGGGAAGATTTAGTAAAGAATTTGGATGTTTCACACGCGAACTTTGGTTTTCTTTCGGTTTCTTAACATTACCATTACGAGTGGTCTTAGGAAGTTCATTTTCGTTTCCGTTTTCCATTGTAGGTTAGACTTTTTTAAAATAATATAAGACCGAGAAAATTTCGTGCTGTTAGTACAACGTTAAGGTTAATACTGATGTTCAAGGCTCACAAAAGGCCTAACCAGTTGACATTTGCAGGCAAAGCCTATTTGATCAAAATTTTTTGTTGGAAACCAGAAACTGAGTTTTTGGCATGGAAATTCAGTAATTTGCCTAGAAATCAGTAATTATAGGATTTTATTCGAATTTCGTAATCATAATACCATATCCCTACATCGCTTTTTTTGTTGGGTTAACTATGGATATGTAAATGCTGCTGCGTTGCGGGAGTTGCCAGCCTGTGGAGGCGCTGATCCAGATGCGTGTGTGTGGTGTGTTTTCTGAGCTGCAGAGCTGCGAGGAATCCGATTTACATATTACTAAAGGGAAAGTCTGCTTTGAATAAACTTCCCCCACTTATCCATTTCCCTCTAGTTTGGCCGTGTGTGTGGGTGTATGTTTGGTTTTGTGCAGTTTTTAAATTTGCAAACATGAGGATGTAAATTTGCAATGAATAAATTAACCAGAGTCAAACTGCTGCCTGCTCCTTCCTGTCCTTCAGTTTTGAGATGCTCGTTCTTGTGACGCTGCTCAACACTTTCGCTATTTATTAAAATATAAATTGACTTTGCCAACAGCCATGCCGCAGCCAGCACATCTGCATTTTCCATTGCGAAGGGGGCAAGGCCTATGTGCATTCATTTTATTTACGACGTTTTAATTTAAACGCAATTTAAATATAAAAATGAATAAATTATAGGAATTATCGAAGGGATTTATTCATAGTTATTTATAGGAATTAATCTTGAATTAATCTTATAAAATATTTAGATTTTTTTAGATTTAGAAATGTCCTTAAAAATATTATTTAAATTGCTAAATTTTCCATAAATTGTTTTGAGTATTTAGACCCAAAGTAGGCGCTTGGCTTTCTATTTTATCAATGAAATTTTGCAAGCCAGCTAGCAGCTTTATTTTGTGTTTTAATCACTTTTTATTATGCGCTGTCCTTGAGGAAAGAGTGGGTGGTGGCTAAGGTGGCTGGGTGATGTGGTGTGGTGTTAACAAAGTGTTTGCCAGAGGCCCGGCAAAAGGAAAACAATCACGTGGCCAGGAGACAGACAGGCAGGCCTGGTCTGGCAGCCTGACAACGAGCGGCAACTCTTCCTTTTTTTTTTCTGCAACATCAACAATAACAAGAGCCAGCAGATGAAGTTACACTGAAAACAAAATTTATATACATAAATTTATAAAAAATATAAATAATATAGATTTACTTTTAGGTTAAAGTTAAAATGCTTAAATTAACATCTTAATTACATGAAAATAATCTTATCTTAATGATATTTTCGCCCTGTGTGTATATAAAAAAAGAATCTCTTAGATGCGGGCAGGCAGACGGTGAGAGAGATAGGGCAGAAGTAGGAGCCAGACTCCGAGTTGGATTTGGATTCGAGATTGGGACTTTGGATTCGGAATGGGAATGGAAACGGGAAAGGGTATGGGTATGGGAATGGGAATGGGAAAACGTCAACGGCAGCCGCGGCGACAACGATACGACAACTTTAGGACGAAATGCTGAGGGGAAAAACTTCGTTTGCCACCCAAAAACTCCGCCTACCACCTAAACTCCGCCCACAACAACAACAGCAGCAGCAACAGCAGCAGCAGCAGAAGCAGAATCCGAAAAAAAAGAACACAACGAGCCGAGAAAACTCAATTAAACTTTTGTAATTACAGCTAAAACGGAAGAAGATATTTATCCAGTATAATTGCATTGAAGGCAAATGAAAGAAAAGGAAAGCCAGAAAAACAACAAGAGAAAGAGACACACACACACACACACCCACACACGTTGGGAAAAAATAAAACCAAAGAGCAGAGCAAAAGAAAGCTGCGAAAAATAAATAAATAAAGGATGCCGGCAGACAAGAAATGGGCGACAGAATAAGCAGATGCCACTTGGATCATTCAGCGTCCAAGAAAAGATACGCAGATACGGGGATATGGATAAGAAAACACAGATTCAGATACACCAGACGCCACATGGTGGAAAAAGCAAAGCAGTCAAAGGTTTTTGAAACCGGGAAACTCAACAAGTTTCAGCAAGGAAAATTTCTGATTTTTATTGGTTTTTTTCAGACTGAAAGTCAAGTTGAAAGTTCTTAAAATTTAAATATTTTTCAATATTTATTTTGAATTTTAAATATTTTTCAAGTGTTAAACTCTTAAAGGATTTTTTGTTTAGTATTTAACAAGATTTTTCTTTCTTTTTCCACAAAAAAAAAACATTTTTTTTTATTCAAATTAGCTGGAAAATTGAATTTTTCCCTTAACAATGCTAGATTAAATCAATCCTTTGATTGCTAAATTAAAAATATGAACAAAAAATCACATCGATTGGCTGTTTGTTGTCCTGTTTGTGACTTGATTCTATTTGTCATTTGGAAAAGGAAAATGAAAATGTTTTCAATTGTCCGTGTCGTCGGTTGTCCGTCCGGTTTGTCTGCTCTGATGAAGACATTAATTTGATGCAAATCGCGTCAACTGAACACAATCGAAGTGCTAATTGCGCTTCTTTCAATGCACAATCCGACACCGACATTCACCGCCCACTTTTCCGCCTCCAGTTTTCCCTACAATTTCACCCCTCCAATTCCTTGCCTCCTTTTGGCCTCCACAATGAACGCTAACAAACAGCAGCCAATCGCCACCCCACATCCTGACATTCAAGCTGGCGATGATGATGCTGATGATGATGATGATGATGCTGCTGGTAGAGATGAGATGATAGGATGAGGATGATGAGGTTGCACCAGTTCAGGTGAACTCCAGCATCCCATCCCAAGGACCACCGAACACTCATTCTCCCAGCAGTCCAATCACTTCACTTCATTATGTATGCGCGACACAGACAATGGGCCACTGATGGACGTGCTGCAATTGCACTGCGACTAGTGGCTAGTAGCTCCAACTAGTGGCTAGTTGCTGCTGCTACTGCTGCTGCTGCCTTCCGCACTCCTTCCTTCCGACTCCTGGCCACCGCAAACACAGACGTTCCATTTTCAGCCACTTTTTGGCACTGAAAAATTAAATGAAATGAAAAATTTTAAAGAAAATTTGACTAAAAAAAAATACCAAAAAAATAAGAAGTTTTATAAATGATTTTTTTGTTATTTTTAGATTAAAATTGGTAAATAATATTTTGGCATAAATAACAAAATAAAATATAAACATCCAATATGAAAGAAAACTAACTTAAGCCATAAAAACTGAACTTCAAGATCATATTTATTCTATTTAAAACTTAACTATCAAACGTAGACTAGTTAAATCTAAAAAATAAGACCAGAAATCTTTAATATTTCTCATAATATTAATAATTACTTCCCTACCTAAGTCATTTTTCTCTCAGTGCACTGAGCTGAATGCATCGCATTCCGGAACCCCTGTGAACCTGAGCGGTTGTTGCTACTATGACTTCGACTGAATAAAATGTTTTGTAAATCTGAAACGCTTGTCCATGCACCAAGGCATGTGCGTATGTGTGTGTGTGTGTGTGTGTGACCTCTCAAAAATCCCCCTTTTGACCATTTCCGGTGGGGCAACGGGCAACGGGCAACACCTTTTGCCCAGAACCAGCATGCCGAGAGCGGAGTCAAATTGCCGAGCATGCGGTGCTAGTTTATCTATTTGCCTGCCTGACCAGCTTGTTAAGTTTTCTCTTCAGTCGATGTAGTAGCACCGCCCTTACCTCCCCCCCTTGCAGTTTCCCACATTTTCAACCCCTTTCCTCCTGGTAAAGCCACAAGTGACGGGAAGCAATGCCAAGAGTCCAGTTCCTGTTACTGGAAAAGAGCGAGACCACAAAAGCGAAAGGCCTGCCACTCACTAGCTCAGAGCACTTGAAGAAAATCTTAGAAAATCCGAAAATATTAACAAAGCTGTTAACTAAGAAAAACTAATGATTTATGATGATAAAAATACCCTTTTTTATTTTTTAAAATTAAGTTTAACTTAATTTCTAACAAAAAACTTTGCCTTCTTTTTCGAACAGTGCCCTGGCCGAGCTTATTTCTCCTGTCAGGGTGAAAATGCAGTTGTTCATCATCAAAAAGACGATGCTATGCTACGCCAAACTCCAAACTCTCAACTTTATGTGCCACCAACTCTGAGGAACTCAGGTTTCAGGATGGCAGTGGCAGCTAGCAGCTAGCAGCTAGCAGCTAGCAGCAAATGGCAAACGGCATCATCAAAGTGCCATTGGCAAAGTTATCTGGCCGCTTGTAATTTAATGTGGGCGTTACTATAAAAACTCGACCATTTTGTGCCACACTGCAGGATGTACTCTCTCTCTCTCCCCCTTCCCTCGTCTACTCTACCCTATATAACACCCTGTAGTATATGCAGTACCCAATACCCATTCTATGGTATATGGCCCCCTTTTTTGACTCTGCACAGATTGGATTTGTAAACGCAATTTTCGCTTACACAACATTATTTTAATGTAATTTTTCTATTTATTGCTAGGCAGTGTTTTAGGCTGGACCAAAAATGCAGTTAAAGTGAAAGATATGTGGATAGGGAAATGAGAAAGAAAACTTAAACTTAAAGTTTGACTTTCTTAAGACTAGAATTTGAAACTATAAAAGTTTGTAGAAAATCTTATTTTAGATCTTAGAAAGATCTCCTTATTAGTAGCTCATGAAAGTTCTTAGTTCTTTAAAAATAATAATAAGTTATAGAAATAAGGAAAATAATGTAAAATCAGTGCCACCCTAGGGCAAAAAAGGGCATAATTTATATGCAACATTTTTTTTTTTACAAGCTCTCCGATATTATAGATTTAAGTGCACACATTAAGCGAGTTACGCAGCGGCCACAACGAACGCAGCCATTATTATTATGAAAACGCGCTTGGCTCTATTCAATTTTATAAGCTCTTTGCATATACATATAGTATATAAAAAAACACAAAACAAAACAAAACAATGCGATGCGTTGGCCAGGACCTTTGGCTAAGTGCAATGTGGCCATAGCTATGGCTATATAGCGACAACATCA